CCATCCATCACCCTTGCTGGCCTGCCCAGGTCATTACCCAGTGTGATGACAGTTTTGTTGCACTAATTAGCCTAATTATAGTTGTCAATTATAACCTGGTCCTCTGCAGGGACCCTGTGATCCTACTGTGACTATCTGACCTTGGCCATTGAGTGTGCACATGAATGTGAAACTTTTGTGTCCATGGCTAACTTGAACACTGCACTACACTCCTCCAGTTCTACTATAATTCCTTTATTTGCTTGTATTTCAGTTTAGTTGTATTTATTTTCTCCGTTAACTAGCTTGTCTCGTTTGTTCTTTTTCCTGCTTTCATTCTTTCCTGCCACACCTGTCAGCTTATCTTTACATCCCCGATTTGTGATTAAAATAAAGAATAATTTCACTTTACTGTTTTGCCACTTGTCCATTCGGTTCTACTTTGATCTTTACTGCTGTTGTTTCAGTTTATATGCTCTCTAACCCAATCTGTTTCATTTTAAGGACCACAGTAAAAATAAGCTATGAATGTCCAGTTCCATTTTATTTCACTCCATAAAGGACTATCAGTGTAACACACCCTTTGCCAGCTGTACCAGAGTCCATAAGCTCCCAAGCAACAATAAGTGCGAACAGCTTAGTGCATTTTTCATGTACAAATTGGCCACGTCATTCAATGGACATGGTTAATTTGGGTCTCTGAACGGTTTTGTTCTTGTTGTTCACATGTCTGTTTTAGACACAAGTTAACATGTCAACAAATACATGTCTATGTCTTGCTGTACTCACTATTTAGACTACTAACAAGGTCAAAATAACCACAATACAAGGACCTAAAAATCATTTATCAGAAGGTAAAAACTGGACAGGACAATGTGTCAAAGTATAATGAAATTTAGCTGTTTTATGAGCAATAAATGGGCCTTGCCCATTTGTCTGAAATGTAAAAGAGAGAAGAGAGCCACTACAGATGAGGAGTTCATGTAAATGAGGTAGCACCAGGCAAGGTGTAATATGGTGAAAATGTGATCTTTGTGCTGCAGACACCTTACCAGTCTGTTCTAACAGATATGTGGAGCTACTGGATAATAATGCTAAATGAGAATAAATACTTTAAATGCTCTCTAACCAGCAGACAGAATTAGATTAGATGAAGGTTTAATGTAGTTAAGGCATGAATTAATTCTTCTAGTCCTTTAGACAGTATGAAAACCTTTCATTTCAGTCTTATACTCATGTAAGGGTAACACGACTAGATATACATTAAAAAATAAAATAAAATGGATCAGTGGGTTACTCTGACAACTACTGTAATTTTCTTTTTCATTTTCTAAAAGCATTTTCATTTGCAGTAAGATGTGATACTTCATAAAAAAATCCTTAAATCCTTTTAGTCATATGGAAGTTTACAAAATTGTGTAAACAGCTTAAATAAACTGCTTCACTCAGCCAGCAATACCATGTAACACACGCAGTAATTAGGTTTTACTTAACTGCTGATAATCAGCAACTGCATATGCAGTTTTGATGTGGATTATTGTATTGCAATATAAAACAAATACATTAAATACACTTAAGAGATATTGAATGTTTCCACTCAACTTACAAATGAGCATCATTTCTCTTTGGCTGCAGATTTGTGGTCCCATATGTACAGATTACTCTACACTTCTCACACTAAAATATTACTTCTTCTGGAGTATTATACTATTATCTGGTGAGCTGTTTTACCCCTGTGATTGAGAGCCTCTAATTGTATTTAACACTTACTCTGTGGATTCAATAGTGTTGTTTTGGTTTTTTACTGTCTGTATGTTGAACTCTGAACTTTAATTTCTGCACAGGCAATTTGAAGCTGGTCTTTTATTCTGTTTGCTTTGAAATAGGCCGTTTACTGGCAGTATTTTCACTAATCCTCCATCGTTCATCTGTCTGTAATGGAATTTGTGTGTGGTAGCTGTTTTTTTTTATGATGATTTATGTGATGAGGTATGTGAGATCTGTACACTGTATCAGTCTTTATTAGAAGATTCCTGTCTAAATGTCTGGCACCTTTTCCTTTCCTTTATTTTCTCCACATTTCTGTTTCTCTTCAATTTTGCCTTTTATTTGCTCTCACTTGGTCTCAAATCCCATGCAACCACCCACCATCTCTCTGTGCCTACTGTATCCCTTCCTCATTCACGTTCTCTGCATGTGCGCTGTTTAGACCCCCCTCCATCCCTCTCTCCCAGGCATCTTTCTGCTTTAATGAAACAGATGTCCCTTCATTAATAAAGACCTGGCTGGCCTACCACAGTAATAATGGAATGAGCAAGTGTGCACAAAAGAGATGGGGTGGGGATGAGTAGAAAAAGAAAAATACTTAACATGTAAGTGTGTGTGTGTTAAGATACCAACCACAACACATAACACAGTCTCCTTTTTCTCTCCCTAAGCAAACACACCAACATGCGGCACACTGACTCCTGAGAATAGCCTGGCCCTGTTCAATTCTCTTTTGTATGAAGTGTCTGACTGTTACTACAGCATGTGGTACCACAGGATTTCCAAGCCTCTGTAAGTCAAACAAACAATAAACTGGAGAATCATTAGTCTAAAATGGGAATGCTATGCTATATAGTACCATGAATGTCAAATAAAATGCTTGAAATCATTTTAACTGCCCAGCTAAACTAGAATGCCCAGAATTTGTAAACATAACCAGAGTGTATACTGGAGGTCGACGCACAGCGGGGATCCCTCGTGCTCGGGAAAGTGTACTGTAGCTAAAGGAAGTGCTTGGTTAGTTTCAAGGAGAGTTTAAATAGCTTCCTGTTGTGCTCTAAGGATAATCTCACATCTTTCCCCCTTGAGATCTCCACATGCTAAGACAAACCAGCTGCTGTCCCACTGTCACACACCAACACAAACTCTTCTCAGATATGGACACCAATACACACCTTCACATACATTAGCATCGCACCCCACATGCACACATGGGTACACAATAATTGCCCAGTAAATTATCTGTTAAAAGCTCAATGTGCTGTCTAGTAATAATAGAGCTCAAACAATCAAATTCATTTAAAAAAAGAAAAAATTAAAAAGAAAAGTTTAAAAAAAAACAGTACAGTGACTGAACATATAACAATCAACCTGTGAACATAGCACAAGGTGCAGTTGGAGGTGGGGAGTGAATGGACACTGAAGGCTTTGAGGGTCATTGCACTTTCAATGTAATGTTGTGTGCCCCTCAGTTATTACCTCTCTGTGATCCACCAGAACTCTAAAGGAGAGAATCGGATGCCTCCGCTCTAGTTCCAAAGAGCGGCTTACTGGCTTTGTTATTTTCTGAAAGCAGACTACCATTTTTCTGTGTTTGGTGCATCACATTGTTCTATTGTTCTTTGATATCTGTCACATCCAGGCAGCAAGACATCCTTTATCTAATCATCAGCACTGCAAAATACATGTCATGCCATTAGCCAGGGGCAAATCTTTTTGTTCTGTCTTAACATCTATGCTGCCACACTGGAGACAAACCGAGTGCCAGGGCCTACCTCTCAGTGGTGATTCCAGCAGAGGCTGATTCATGCAGCTTCAATCCGATTATGCTAACAATCCTACACAGTCTCTCTTCATTAGATCGTTTGCCCAGAATTGTTCTGTGTCTTGACTGGCCAATTTAAACACAAAACCAGACTCGCTGTGATAACTTCCTACAATATATGCTAATGTACAAAGTGTAGACATTATCAGCCTAAGCTTGCCATTGAACACCTGATGAAACTGCACCTGATGAAAATAGATCATATGAAATGGCTCCGAATCCACTAGATGACAAACAAGTACTAACTACACAAGTCACACAATGCCCTTTATTTTGTACCTCTGTTAACAGTGTGGCCTTCTTTATTATACACTTAGGGGGATATTTACTAATGGTTTGCAGCTCATTTCTGGTGCTAAACAGGGTGTTCATATTTAGAGTCGCAGTGGGGTTTTGCAATGGAGAAACAGAAGAAAAGTGGCACCATAGGAATTTGGGTCTCATGCAATATGTACTTTAAGGCATTTCCAGAGAAGAGAAAAGAAATTTATACAAATACCCTCAGCACCTGATTTACCGCTGCTTTGAGAGAGGAAACCGTAGCTGAAATTTAACGTTGGGAGAAAGCAGGTATACAATTTGCAGCACTGCTGTCAGAATGGCAGCTGTTAGTCAACTGATATCTCATCAGAGTTAAGAATATGTTTGAGGAGGGAGAGGGTGTTTGTAAATTGCATCACTTGCCAGAGGAGAATGTGAGGGACTTTTACAGGCTTTCTGGCCAGGCCATGCTTCAATTACTAAAAAAAATAAAAGATGATTTGACTGGCAGGAGACTACGTAATTGCTGCTCTGAAATATGTTTGTTGATTTCTTCAACCATATTAAAGTTAAGTCGTTGTAAACACTCTTTGTCCCTCTTGGTCCATCTGTGCACAGTACAGGCACATCCTTACCAGTTGAAGTGAATTCAAATTAACACAGCTGCGGCTGTGCTCATTTACATCCTCAGTGTTAGTAAATATGCCACTACATTTCAAAACTGCGGTGCAGCAATATATTTCACACTTGATGGTAATTTGTGACAGGTTTAGTAAATATCCCCCTTAGCATCTTTGGCCCAAACAATAATAAATAGCTACACTGATACATCTGATAAACATACTGATGCTGCATGATGTGCAAAGTGCACTTCACCAACAAACTTAAATGTAGATACAAAGACAAATTTGTCTTGAGATGACATAGGACACCCAACTCCGCCATCATGGCAATGTAATCTCAGCTATGCAAATCAGTTGCCATCACTCCAAATGGCCAACCTGTGGCTTCACTCAGTATGAATTACCTGTAGACAAGTAGTTAGAAATGAATTCATTTCTACAAATCAAAAAAGATTCTTGCACAACAGACAACAAATGATAAATACTGAGTAAATATATCTGTAAATCTTTTAATCTAGAAAACAAAAACATTTTTAATTGACCAGTATTAGTATGGAGCGTGTTAAAGAGAATCAGATTTCAAATCAGCATTTTATTCTGTTGAAGTTAAAAACTACCTACTTCAATCTTTGCTCAAGTCAGTGAACAGTGAAAATAGTGTCTCAATAGTCTAAAGTGGCGGTCTTGGTATCGATCACTGTCTTCATTCTTTTTCCTCTCTTTGAATGCATTCTCACACATGTTGTTAGATTATGTAGATGGAATTTGACTTCCATCTCTGAGAGAAGAGAGGAGACTTGGCAGAGGGAGTGAGAGCCACTCGAGACGAGTGAGACCTACACAGAATGAGATTGCTTCAGAATACACCCATGAGGTCACATTTACCATAAGGAAGGTAAATCAAATGTTCAGCTGTCTTGATTGGAAAGAGAAACAGGCTAAGCAACCAGTGATTATAAATGATGGATAGATGGCAGATGGCACATACAAACCTGGGCCAGTTGTCAGCTTATCCCTTCCTAGAGGCTGATTTGACCATTACATAGTCTATGGCCTGCCAAACTAAATCATCCAATTAAAAAATACTGGAAATCTAAAAAAGAATGTACAGTATTCATATGGACTTCAAGTCTGGTTTATTTGATGGCATCGTTCAAAGAGAAATCAGTTTTCAGACCCAGGTTTGTATGACTCAACCCAGACATCCATACCTGTTTCATTCCTTCGTCATATGCTGCTTTACTGCTTCCAGACAAATGAGGGTTGGTCGTGTGGATGGAAAAAACATAAGAGAGGACACAAAAGAGATGGTGTAATGAGACAAGTGAAACACAATAACACACGCAAATAAATAATAGCACATGGATGAACATATATAGGGAAGGCACAAAAAGCAGCATGGAGATGTGTTTGAGTGGATACGAAACAACATGGCTAAATGTGGTCACAAAAATACGCACAAAATTGAACACGCAAAGCGTATACAGAGTGAAAATCAGATGCTTTATATGCACTAAATAGGAGGAAGAGGAATGCATTTGTACAATATGTTGACTCATGCAAAAGCGAGTATGAAGAGTAAAGTTACTGAGAACTGAAAATGAGAAGTCATAACAAAATGTTCAGCTGAGTCTAATATTTTAGCTTCAATATATGGCACTAGAAAATATATTAAAAGTGCCTAATGACACACTCAAAACATAACACAATTCAAAAATCAGCTGTATACACACAGCCAGTTGGAAAACAGCAGTACCACAGACACTGAGACAATAGTTGGTCTCAAAGCAGCAAAGTGTGGTGATTTTCAGAGCAGTGTTCAAGAGCCTGTGTTCTTGAACTTGTTTACGCCATGCAGAGCCAATGCCATGAAGAGATTACATGTGACAGTCAGAGAGCCATTAGAGGTCTGTGTGTGTATCACAATTCTTTCAACAACAGTAAGGTCTGCTTCAGTTAGAGCTGATGTGTGTTTCCATCCACAAACCTACAATATACGAACACACATCCGCTCTGAAGAACCTGCATGCATATGGTTATGGTAGTAGTAAAAAATGCATCAGTAGTAATTCATAAAAGAATATAAGACAAGACCGTTGTAGAGTGCCAGTAAAAGTGCTGGTGATCTGAGAAGGGAAGTGAGGAAGGAAAGAAAGACCACCCATGAAAGGCAGCAGCACTTTGAGAA